CCCCCCCCCCCCGGGCTCAGTTTAAAGTCTTCCGGACGAAGCTCGCTAGAGCATCTCCAAAGGACCTTTTCCTCATCCTTGTGAGGTGTAACCCATCCCTTGCCAGAAGTCCATTGGCAAGAAAACGAGTGCAGTGGTCGAGGAACCCGAAGCATTCCTTCTGGCACCACACCCTAAGCCAGTCGTTCACCTCGGAGGCCCTCCTGTCCCTTCCTGGCCCAAATCCCCGGACAGGTAAGATTGACGAGAAGGCCACTTGGGCCTTCAGCTCCCTGAGTTTCTTCCCCAAGGCCTCGAAGTCCCTGGTGGTCCTGACCACACCCTGCCTGGTCACGTCGTTTGTGCCCACATGGATCACCAGGAGTGGCTGGTAAACCTATTCACTCTTTTGTAGTTTCTCCAAGTAGTGAGCAGCCAAGAAACCAGAAAGGAGATCCTGGCTTGCTGCACAGCCAAGACTGTAAACCAGTTTGTTCTGGGATTTGTAAAACCTTTTTTTTTCTTCCAAAGCAGCAAGTCAGGATGCCAGTTTTGGATGACACAAACCAGCTTTCCCAATCCAATTACTCCCGAACATCTAGAGCGTAATTCCCATCAACCCAACCAGTGGCTATGCTGGCTGAAACCAAGAGAAGTCGCAGCCCACAACTTCTGTGGAGCACCAGGTTGGGGACCACTTGCCAGAGGAACCCAGCAAAGGCAAACAGGCTGCATATCCTAGTGGAGTATGTAATGAAGTGTGGTCTGTATTACGAAATAAATTATTTGCATAAGGAATGTAATAGCAGAAACTTTAGTACATTTTAGTTTTGTGTTCTGTTTAATCTCATTTGTCCTTCAAAGCTCAAGAACTTTTATATCCCACTGTCTTCCCCTTGTGGAACTCAAGATGGTTACATGCAGTTCCCAAGTGGCCCCTCCTCCAAGTTCAGGCTTTGTTTTAACAGTGGATGCCTCAGACCGTACTGAGTCCAGTTGTGACAGCACAAAATTCTCCATTAGATGTCCGAGCGCTTGCTGAATTCAGAGTGTGTGCTGACAGAACGACTTTGCTGTAATTATATTCTCCATGTTGGAGTAAACCAACCCCGCATCTAGTATTCGCCAGATGTGTTGGACTATAGCCCGCATCATTCCTATCACCAAGGTAGGCAAGGCTGGATCAAACTCTTCCAGGAGCCAAGGATGGGGCCTGCTCTGGGAAGGGTCTGTTAAACAACCTTCTCATGGAAGTTCAGCACACACTGTACCGCTTGCTTCCTTCTAATTCAGGGGAAAGCAACATGGAGGCCATGGAAGTTGCTCACCAGAATGGCAGGTCTTCCCATATCTATGAAGGGGTTTGAGAGGAGGAAGAGGAATCCACTGCTTACCTTGGATTTGCAATGAGATTACCAGGGGCTTCCCTCAGCCACACAATCTCTCAGCAGGGAATCCCCTGAACCTCTATCCCAGTTCAGGCAAGGGGGCTGTCTGTCCAGCACCCTCCCTCAAATGAGACACTGTAGGTGGGCCAAGCAGCTTCGCAGTGTACAGATCTCCTCCAACAGGAGACCAGCACCCAGTGAAGCCAGTTCCTGGCTGCCTGCCTGCCTGCCTCTGCTCATTTTAAGCAACAAGGATGCCATCAAATCCCTCTGTGGAACAAAGCGACAGTTACAACAACATGCAGCGTCCCCAGCCGGAACAAAGATTCCGTGGGCAGTGCTGGTTTCTGTTTTCCTTGGTGTGGCCAGACAGGCACGGCAGTGGGTAATGACACCTTAGGGACAGGGCAACCTGGCATGAGGAGAAATGGGTGGAATAGCACCTGTAAGGGACCAGGGATATGCCCTATGTTAGAGGAATTGCCAAGGGAAAGCCAAGCAATTACTGTTGATTACTCAAACCTTCAGAGACTCAAACAGGAGAAAGAAGAGCCTCAAGG